ATAAGCATTCAAAAGATGACAAGTGATTGCACTGTTTTCTTACTTAGCCTGCTTCTTGAGGGTGGCACTGGATTTTTTTTTATTGCTAGTTTTGTAGATCTCTGAATTCCTCACCTTGAAAGTTCTCCCATCTCAGGCGTGTTATTTAGCTTCCTGCCTTATTCAGGTTCGAAATCTGGCAAATAGGAGGAGGAGGAGGAGGCCTTTTGGTTATTATAGGTTCCTCTATCTAATGGGATTTGGTTTGTTAGTGCCTTCACTGTGCAAGAGAATTTCACTCTACTTTTTTGGCTCTGTTCCCCATCCTCCCATACCATCCTGATACTAAGGAAATGTCCTGTGGTGGAAATCAGCTTGGTATTCTGCTAGATTTCATTCTTTCTTGTAGCCCATGGGTTCATCAAAACTTACGGTGATTTCTCTTTCCAATGGAATATATCTCCCTATACCAGGGGTGGAGAACCTTTTTTCTACCAACGCCATTTGGATATTTATAACATCATTCTTTGGCCATACAAAATTGTCATTAAAAATCAGCCTGCTATATTAGGTCAAACATTTAATTAACTCATCACTAATGCTTTGACAGGGCCAGACCAAATGATTTCACAGGTCTTTTGCAGCCTGCAGTTCCCTACCCCTGACCTATACCAAACTCCTGCCCATAATTTCTAAGATGCCCCTCTACCATATCCTATATAATAAGAACCTACTATGCTACGTGTCTGGCCATTCAGCCAATCAAAGCATAATCCTATATGATAAAACCCTAATATGCAAATCAACCAAATGGCAGAATGACTGGTCGCTATGATACAGACACTCAACGCAGGATCTGCCCCCTGATGGCCAGTGTGCTCCCACAGGGGGAGCGCCACTCAGCCAAAAGCCAGGCTCATGGCTGGCGAGTGCAGAGGCAGTGGTAGGAGAGGCCGCAGGCAGGAAGTAAGGAGTGAGGAGTCCTGGACTGCGAGAGCCCTGGACTGCTAGAGGGATGTCTGACTGCCGGCCCAATCCCCTAGGCCGGCAGGCGGACATCTTCCAAGGGGTCCAGGGTTGTGAGACGGTGCAGGCTGGGCTGAGGGACCACCCCAATCCAGTGCTCAGATTTCATGCATCAGGCCTCTATTCTAATGTTAAGGTACCAGTAAGGTCGCTCAGCTGCTCTTTATGATGTGCACTGATCACCAGGGGACAGACTCTGGTAGGTTAGCTTGCTCCAGTAGGTTAGTTCCAACTAGTAGGTTAGTCCGCCCTATCAGGACTATGCGAGACGGGCCAAACAGTCCCTCCCACAGTCCCTCCCAGCTCGCCAACCTCCCTCATCCCTCTCCAGCCCAGTTGTGCACTGGTGGGGTCCTTCGGCCCGGACTGTGCCCTCTCACAATCCAGGACCCCTCGGGGGATGTCGGGGAGCCAGTTTCGACCTGATCCCACAGGCCAGGCCGAGGGACCCCACTGGTGCATGAATTCACGCACTGGGCCTCTAATTAATTGATATTGTTTCCTGATTGCTCCCATAGCTCTCTAATTTTTTTAGTATGATTTCTATAATTTATTCAACTTTGTTTATTACATCAGGAATGATGGCCTGTGGCTACCTACATCTTACCTAGAAGTGGCTCCAATTTTAGATCACCTTTAAGTTCTCTCTGTTATATATTAATAGTACCTTACTTAGAGTCCTTATATTTTTTATCATACTTATGAGTTATTTTATGTTTTTGATAATATTATGTATGGTATGATTTTTAGCTTTCAACTTTATAACTTTTTTTAAATTAAATCTTTATTGTTGAAAGTATTACATGTCCCTTTGTGTGCCCCCCCCCCGCCACCATTGACCCCTTCTAGCCCACCCCAGCTTTCACAACCCTATTGTCTGTGTCCATAGGTTATGCATATATGCATACAAGTTCTTTGCTTGATTTCTTCCCACCCACCCACAATTTTATAACTTCTGGTACTAAAAAATATAGTGTATTTTTAAAATTTGATTTCATACCTGACAGTTTTTTTTAAAATATATTTTTGTTGCTTTCAAAGAGGAAGGGGGAGGAAGGAGAAATAGAAACATCAATGATGAAAGAGAACCATCGATCAGCTGTCTCCTGCACGCCCTGCACTAGGGACCAGGCCTGCAACCCAGGCATATGCCCTTGAACAGAAACTTGCAACCCTTCAGTCCAAAGGCTGGCACTCTACCCACTGAGCCAAGCTGGGTAGGGCTTTGGCAACTTTTTTAAAAGCTTATATTCCAATAACTTATCTGTAGATTATTTTGTATTTTCTATCAAAATTACATCAGTTTGAAAAGTGATAGTATTATTTTTCTTATCTTGATAGTACTTCTTTTTTCTGTTTAAGACCTTTACTAAATGTTCAATAGAAATGGTAAGATTTGGCATTATTATTTTGTTCCTAATCTTACAATTACTACATTTCACAATAATTAGGATAGTTTCTCTAAAGTTTTTTTGTAGTTTCCCTTTGCAACAAATTTTACACCTGATTATTAAATTTTATCAAATGTTTAATCTGACCATATTGATGTGATTTGTATGCATTTTATCCTTATTGATGGTGAATTTTGTTGTTAGATTTTTTAATGTTAACTTACCTTGCATTTCTGGAGTAAACCTTCTTGGTAGGAATTCACACACACACACCCAATTGGTTTTCTAACATTTTGTTTAGGATTTTTGCTTCTATATTCATGAGTTATTGGCCTATTACTTCCTTTTCTCATGATTGTTCTTTAAATCATTGAATAGTAGGCAGAGGGTATAAATTCAAAAGTTCTTTTGTTCTTATGATATAGATACTAATCAAATATAATATTACTCCATTTTTTATTTTTTTAATATATTTTATTGATTTTTTTTTAACAGAAAGGAAGGGATAGGGAGAGTTAGAAACATCAATGAGAGAGAAACATCAATCAGCTGTCTCTTGCACACCCCCTCCTGGGGATGTGCCTGCAACCAAGGTACATGCCCTTGACCAGAATCCGCAGGCTGACGCTCTATCCACTGAGCCAAACTGGCCAGGGCTTACTCCTTTTTTTTTTTAAAGACTATTTTTGAATAATTTTAGACTTACAGAAAATATATAAATACTAGAGGCCCAGTACATGGATTCGTGCACCAGTGGGGTCCGGTCCCTTAGCCTGGCCTGCACCCTCTCGCCTTCCAGGACCCCTCGGGGGATGTTGGAAAGCCAGTTTTGGCCAGATCCCCACAGACCAGACCTAGGGACCACACCAATGCATAATCGGAGCCTGGGAGGGGACCCCAGGAAGGCTCCACGGTGTGTCTGGCCCTTCTTGCCCATTCCTGATCAGCCAGACCCCAGCAAGCAACTAACCTACTGATTGATTAGAGCATCTATTCCCTGGTGGTCAGTGTGTGTCATAGTGACTGGTGGAACAATTGGACACTTAGCATATTAGGCTTTTATTATATAGGATAATAGAAGTCTCTGTACTCTTAAGTTTTTTTATTGTTAGTATCTTAAATTAGCGTAGTATCCTTGTCAAAATTAAGAAGCCTGCATTTGTACATTACTATTCACTAAATTCCAGACTTTATTTAGATTTCACCTATTCCCATTAATGACCTTTTTTTGGTTCTTGAACCCAATCCAGTATATCACTTTCAATTTAGTTAATTGTCATGTCTCTTCTTAGTCTCCTCTGGTCTATGACAGTTCCTCATTGCTTTCTTGAGGAATAATGGTCAGATATTTTGTAGAATGTCCCTCAATCTGGGTTTAACTGGTGCTTTTTTCATGATTAGACTGGAGTTAAGGATTTTGGCAAAGCACACCACATAAGGGAAGTACCCTTCTCATCACGTCACAGTAGAGAGTATGTGACATTCACATTACATCACTGGTGATGTATACCTTTATCCTTGGGTAAATAGCATAGTGTTTGCCAGGTTTCTGCATTGTAAGTTACTATTTCTCCTTTTTTATGTTTTATTTGGAATCCAGTCACAAAATTAAATCTATTGATATACTCAAGGAAGGAGAGATTAAACTTTACCCCTTGGACTGGACTGAGTTGAAGGGGTAGTGGTATCTATTGTACATGTATTATTTGGAATTCTTCAGTAAATGAGATTTGTATTTGTCTTTTCTCTCCTATTTACTAGATGCCCAGTGCACAAAATTCATGCACTGGGCGGAGGGGATGTCCCTCACCCCAGCCTGCGCCCTCTCGCAGTCTGGGAACCTTTAGGAGATGTTTGACTAATGGGAGCAGGCCTAAGCTGGCAGTTTGATATCCTTAGTGCTGCCACAGAAGCGGGAGAAGCTCCCACCACCACTGCTGCACTGACCAGTCATGAACCCGGCTTCTAGCTGAGCGGTGCTCACCCTGTGGGAGCACATTGACCACCAGGGGGCAGCTCTGGTGTTGAGCGTCTGCCCCCCTGGTGGTCAGTGCTTGTCAAATGGCTCTGCCATTGGCTCAATTTGCATATTAGCCTTATATTATGTAGGATAGGATTCAGTTATTTATTTATTTTTGAATATGAATTCTCTATAATCTTAACACATTATTATAAGGTTGAAAACTTCTGGTTCCCTCACTGACATAAACTTCTTGAGGGAACACTTTGTTTCTTCTTTACCTTGATATCTATACATTTAATACAGTCCCCTAACTTATAGTGAACCTCTCTGGTAATTTTTTAAAAAAATGAATGTATTTTCACTTGAACTGAAAAGTACTCTTTCCTCAGCTAAATTTCATAATAGCATTCTACATTGAAATTAAAAGTAGATTTTAAAACAAAAGTAAACTCGTGTGTTTGCATTGTAGAAGTATCATAGAGACTGAAGGTTACTACATAAACAACTTAACCATTTATTGTGTCTGCACAAAACATTCCATGAAACTACTTTAAATATTCAATGAAGCCACTTTTGGAAAGATAGTATGGCATTTTATAAGCCAAAGATATATGACCTGCTATGTCCTTTCTCTTATTCAGATCATCGGAGGTGGTTAAGACTCCACTTTCTGCTTCCCCTAGAAAATTATTATCTGATGCAGTCACTCAGATTACAACTGAAAGTCCAGGAAAAGCTATGTTTTCATCTCAGATTTTTATTAATCCTGACGATGGTGAACGTGAAATTCCACATCCCAGTTCCCAGAATCTGAGCAAAGCTCCTAACAAGTTTGCTTCATCATCTTCAGTCCAACAGATTGCTGTTCCTCGTAACACAAAAGGAGGTAAGAGAATGTGATTGCATTTTAGGTCAGATTACCTACTTTTATGTGTAACTAGAGGCCTGGTGCACAAAATTTGTGCATTGGGGTGGGGGTATCCCTCAGCCCAGCCTAGACCCTCTCCAGTCTGGGACCCCTTGAGGGATGTTTGACTGCCCTCTCACAATCCAGGACTGCTGGTTCACCCCTTTACCATTGCCCTGCCAGCCTGATTGATGTCTAACTGCTCCCCTGCCAGCCTGTTTGCCCCCAATTTCCCTCCTCTGCAGGCCTGGTCACCCCTAACTGCCCTCCCCTGCAGGGTTGATTGCCCCCAACTGCCCTCCCTTGCAGGACTTGTCCCTCCCAATCGCCCTCCCCTGGCAGGCCTGGTTGCCCCCAGCTGCCCTCCTCTGTTAGCCATCTTGTGGCAGCCATTTTTTATCACATGGGGTCGGCCATCTTATACGATGACATGAGGGTCAATTTGATATTACCTCTATTATATAGGATAATATTCAAAATTAGAGTAAGTTATTTTATTTTTATAACAAGAAAATTAACATTTAAGTTTCCATTCTTCCCCCATATGAGAATGGAAACTTTAGACTATTGATTTTACAATATTTAATAGTTTGCACAAATCTATTTAAAATTTTTCTATGTATACAAGAAGTTTATCTATCTGTAGATACAAAGAGGCTATGCCTAAATGTATAAAAGATTTCTTGGTTCAGCATTTAGATTGCATTGAATTTAAGTAAGTACATTTATGTTAAGATAGTTATACATTTTTACTGTGAAATAAAACTCCCAAATTGTACAGTTTAATAAATATCACAAAGATCATCTTTATGTGTCAGTTACCTAGTGATACTATATAACAAGAGCCTCAAAAATCTCAGTGCTTCATGACAAACATTTGTTTATCTCGCTCACTGGTTTGTGTTGTCAGTTGGGATGTGGCTGCAGGCAGCAGAAATAGTTTCGTCCTTTTCTCTTGCCTTGTTCTGAAACTCAGGTTAATGGGACAATAGCTATCCACAGTATGTTGTTCTCAGGTGGTGGTAGAAGCACAAGAGGGGAAACCCAACTGTGAAAGTGTGCTTTAAATCTTCACTCACATCAAGTGCATCAGTCTATATGTAGCGGCCACAATTTCTGGTTTTACCTTTGCATACAAATACCTGGGAGAAAAAACTACTTTAAAGTATTATTATTTGATTTAAAAATTTTTGAAATTGTGAATTTAAAAGTAAAATTTTTTATTTCTTTTACATGAAAACATTTTAAAGTACATAGAATTTATACTTTATGCTCAACACATGACTATCTGCCCACTAATCTGAATTAATAAATTAGGAATAATTTATTGTATGCTTATATTTGGTTCTATTTTTAAAATTTTAAATTTTTAGTGGAACTTTTTTTTTAACCCCTTTCAGTCTTTTCTTTCCCAAAAGCAAACATTATTTGCTGTGTAGTCACTTCTTCCCCCATTGGCAGGCAGTACAAAGTAACCTTAACACTGTTGCATCCAAACATAAGTTTGATGAAAAATTTAAAAAGCCACTTATCTTTCTAAGAATTCTCCATATCATAACCATTCTTGGTCTGGGTCCACTGTAATTCTGCCCAATAATTGTTATCCATTTTCTGCAATCTTGTAAGTAGTAAATTTAACTATCACTTTCAAACTTTATGTACAAGAAGAAGAAAATTAATAAGTCAATATTCTAGCAATAAATGATTACAGCAATGACCATGTAGAAGTGGAGGCTACAGCTTATTTTTCTGTTGTTTAAATTCTTCCCTGTATAAAATGGGCTTGGTTTCTGGGGAAGTGAGTGTGTGGTGTTTTTGTTTTAGGTTTTATTTTTGTTTTTGGAGGGCTTTGTTTTGATTTTTTTGCTTTTGCCTGTTGGAGTGATATAAGTATTTCTAAACAATCTGAGACTTTATTAGGCAGGCATCCTGCTCTAATCTCCCTAATTATTTTCTAATTATTTCCTTCATGTCACTTATAATTTATTAAAATATTAGATTATTTATTTATTTAATATGCTGCTTACTTTCTACATATCTTCCTCCTCTTAAGGCTGAGGTACTTTTCTTTGTAGTTCACTGATATATCCCAAGAATCTTGAACACTGTCTGGCACTTGAAGGCACTCAGTATTTGTTCATTGAATTAATAAATATTTTCTTATTAATTGTTGTGATCTTTATCTCCTTAGCTCAGCCTTCACTGTTGCCATATAAGCCTTCTGGTAGTACGAATATGTACTATGTTCCACAAATAAGTCACAGTCTTCCAGCTGTGGAATCCAAATTGAAGAGGACCTTTGCTCCACAATTAGGTCAAATTCTTTCATCTCAGGATTCCAAATCAGACACCACCATTGAGAGCTCACACTCAGGTATTATTCAGAATTATTTAACATTTTATTTTTTGCTCCCTAACTGGATTGGCCCAATGGATAAAGTGCAGCCCCAGACTGAAGGGTCCCAGGTTCAGTTCTGGTCAAGGGCACATACGTTGGTTGCAGGTTTTCCGGCCCTGGATGGGGTGCATACAGGAGGCAACCAATTGATGTGTCTCTCTCACATTGATGTTTCTCTTTGTCTCTCCCTCTCCCTTCCATTCTCTTTAAAAATAAATGGAAAAATATCCTCGGGTGAGGATTAAGAAAATAAAATAAAATTTTATTTTTTTGAAATTTTATTTGTGCACTGGCTAGTTAATTCTGGAATGACATGAAAGCTCAATGGTAGATGTTAGAAATTTACTTATTAAAACTAGTACCATCATAAACAGTAAAAGACTTTAAAACAAAAATTATTAGAGACAAGATCACTTTATAATGATAATAGAGTCAATCCATAAGCAAGAAGATGAAAGTTATAAGTGTACATGCACCACCTAGCAACAGAGTCGTAAATACAAAAAGAAAAAGAAAAACCACAAGAAATATTCCAAACCAGTTCAAAAAGTCATGTATTTTTTAATTCCATTATATGAAATATGTAGAATGAGAAAGTTTATATAAACAGAAGGTAGATTACTGGTTACCAGGAGTTGTGGGAGAGGGGGAAATGGGAATTATTTGCTGATGTGTACAGGGTTTCTTTTGGGATGACAAAAATGTTCTGTAATTAGTAGCTTTGGTTGTGAACTGAATTGTATACTTATTAGAGGCCCAGTGCACGAAATTTGTGCACAGGGTAAAGGGTTGTCCCTCAGCCCAGCCTGCACCCTTTCCAATCTGGGACCCCTTGAGGGATGTTCGAGTGCCTGGACAGTCAGACATTCTTTTCACAATCTAGGACTGCTGGTTCCCAACTACTTGCCTACCTGATTGCCCTTAACCACTTATGCCTGCCAGCCTGATCAACACTTAACTGCTCCCCTGCTTGCCCAATTGCCCCTAACTGCCCTCCTCTGTCGGCATGGTTGCCCCCAACTACCTTCCCCTGCAGGCTTGGTCACCCCTAAGTGTTTTCCTTTGTAGGCCTGATTGCCCCCAACTGCCCTCTCCTGCTGGCCCAGTCACCCCTAACTTCCTTTCCTTGCCAGCCTGGTTGCCCCAACTGCCCTTCCCTGCAGGCTTGGTTGCCCCAACTGCCCTCCCCTGCTGGCCATCTTGTGGCAGCTATTTTGTGTCCACATGGGGGCTGCCATCTTGTGTGTTGGAGTGATGGTCAATTTGCATATTACCTCTTTTATTATATAGGATTTAAATGTTATGTGAATTCTCAATTGAAAAAAATGGAGAGAAGAAATGAACAAATGAAGAAAAGACTACCTGAAAATGTAAAGGTTTAGTAGTAGATTTAGAATACATTTTGCAGGCAATGAAAAATAAAATTAATGTGAAGGAAATTGAATTGTTGATGAGGACAAACTTGAAAATTTTTCTAAAAATACAGAGAGAATAAAATAAAGATGATGAAAAAGAAAACTAGAGACATAAGAATCACAGCTAAATAAATCAAACCAAGAATTATATCTATAATTGAAGAAGTAAGCAGAACAGTGTGAACAAAAGTAATATCAAAGACTTAATAGAGGAATATTTACCTCTCCTGAAAAAGGGAACACAGTATGCAGATTGAAAGTTAAACAGATACAGTCAAAGTGATTAGAAAGAGACTGATATACATACTAGGAAAAGATTTTGAATTGGAAAAGAAAAAAATTATGTAAACATACATAGTTATTTTTTAATAAAAGGTTGTATAATTAAGTGAACAGAATTTAGTCATATCATATTTACAATGCTAAAATGTAACAGATAAATGGAGCAAAATATGTATTATATAATTATATAATTCAGGAATATATGAACCCAAATGCATATTCATTAAGCAGAATGGCAATGAAAAGACATTTTCACGAATATACAGGAAGTACAAAATATATTCTACCTCCATCTCATCTTGAAAAATTCACTTGGAGATTTACCCAGCTGAAGAGATGCATCAAAATGAAGAGTTCAGGAATGAAAGATGGTAGTGCTGAGTGTGCAGTTGTGTGCTGCAGGCAATATATATGCTCTGTTTATCGTTTATCTAGAAGTAGTTGTGAGGAGAGTGACCCCCATGTATAGTTGTTTGTATTATACCATAATATACAATGACATATATATTTTTTTTATTTTTTTTATTAAGGAAGGAATTGTTCTGATTCCAAAAAAATACTATAAGGACTAGCTTTGTCCTGAATGCTAGAATCTGAAGCTCAGAAGAAAGGTCTCAGTTATATATATGTGTGTGTGTGTGTGTGTGTGTGTGTATATGTTTGCCATTCTATATTCCTATATAATAAGAGAGGAATATGCTAATTATCCATTACGCCTTGAGGCATAACAACCAACTGCATAATGACCACATCACGGGTCTGCAGGAGGGTGGGGCAGCAAACTCTAAGCGGGCGTCAAAAAGCTACAGGAGGGCAGCAGAGCTATTGGTGCACGGATTTGTGTGCAGGGCTACTAGTCAGCATATAAATAGTTGTCCAATATATTGATAATCTGTGATTTCACCCAGGATTTAAAGAAAGTTCAGTTCTGACCCTTTGAGGAACTCTGACAATAAGAGATTTAGTAGGAGAAAAGATACTAGCACTTTCTCAGAGAGGTAGGGAGCAAACCTGGGAAAGTGATGCCACAGAAACTGAGAAGATCCGAATATAATCAGTTCTGTGGCTAATAAGGCTTAATAGGATCCTTGCAATCTGTCTTGAAAAATTCTTCATGGCTTATTAATATTTGTATTGTACTGATGATACTGATACTTACCCAGCATTTATTGCATTTACATTTCAAGTGCTCGTAAAATGCATGAAGTATAGAATTCCAGATTAGAAAGAAAACACATTTTTGTAGAAGACAATTCTAAAGTTACTACAAACTCCTGTATGTCCAGAGATAATTCTTTCACCACTTATATTTGGCATAGATAAGCTTCACGTATCAAGAGATATAGGAACATTAAACATTTTTAATTAGTTTCAGATTTTGTGTTTTTTATTACATAAGAGGTTCCTTTCAATGTTTTGTCCCTTGTATTGTCAGGTTAATCTTCCTAAAATGTAGCTAATTATATTTTCCTTTATTTAAGAAATCTTGATGTTATATTTTATACAAAAAAGTTAGGGATTTTTAGCTTGGGATTTCATGCTCTGCTCAATTTTGTTTCAAACAATTATTTTTAAATATTTCCCATCACTCTCTTTAATGTATTTTCTAACCCAGGCTGAGTACAAATGTGTCTGCTTCTTACCTACTCTCCTGCCTCCTTGTCTACTAATGCTATAACCTCTGCCTAAAATGTCTTTATTCCTTCCTCTGTGATTTTCAAACAGCCTACTTATTTTCTAAGATACAGTCTAATTTCACCTTCCTCTGAAAACCTTCCTGAGCTGGACATTGTCTTCTTTCTGAACTATTGGTCTACTTTAAGTTGTCTTTTCTTTAGCCATTTGCTTTTCCACCTTGTATAGTTACAGTTTAGTTTACAGGTCTGACATCTTCTGTTTGACATCTTCTGATTACTGTACTACACTCCCATTGTAGTGCTTCTCCCCCCCCCCCCCCCCCACCAGTGGTTTAAGAGGTAAATTTTTGTCTTTCTTCAACTTAATGGCTATATTTGTGTTGATTGTACTACTGTTCTATTTTTCTTAGGATCCAATGATGCCATTGCTCCAGATTTCCCAGCTCAGGTCCTAGGCACAAGAGATGATGACTTGGAATCCCCTGTTAATATTAAACATAAAGAGGGGATCTATAGTAAGAGGGCATCCTCATTAAAGGGGAAAAAAGGCATTCAGAAAGATAATGCAGGTAACTGAATGGGCTTTGTATATTTTATGGCTTCTTTCTTTTACTCCCTGTTCATCCTAAAGGAGAATATTGTTCAGTCTTTATCTTGTTCTGCTTTGTTATATAAACTTTTTTCCTTAGCTATCTTATTGGGTATGTAGAAAAAGGTAAAATATTTTAAAATGCTTCACAGATTTTTGAAACCTGTAAAGTTTTTTTTTAAATATATTTTTATTTCAGAAAGGAAGGGAGAGGGAGAGAAACATCAATGATGAGAATCATTGATTGGCTGTCTCCTGCATGCCCCCAACTGATTTATAGTAAAAATTAAGTTTAAGATACTCTATATCAGTGGTGGGCAAAACCTTGGCTTGCAAGCCACATGCAGCTCTTTGGCCCCTTGAGTGTGGCTCTTCCACAAAATGCCACGTGCGGGCGCACACATGCAGTGCCATTAAAACTTCGTGGCCCATGCACGGAAGTCGGTTTTTGGCTCTCAAAAGAAATTTCAATTGTTATACTGTTGATAGTTGGCTCTGTTAACTAATGAGTTTGCCGATCACTGCTCTGTGTAAACAACCGAGCCACACCAGCTGGGCTGTAAACTTTATTTTTACTATGCAAAATAAAATATGTTGTAACTTTTGAAATGAAATAATATCCAATTGAGTATGTTTTAGAGACTAGAATCCATAGAAAATCTTGATTAAATTGTCTGATGAGTTTACCTGTCAAATGATTCAAACTAGTGGTAATTTGGTAGACAGATAACTCTGTGATCCTACTGATAAAGAGCTGAGGATGGGAGGATATGGAAAATTTAGCAGAGAAAGTGATAGAATTAAGGGAATTTTTTCAGACATCTGCACAAAGTACTTGCCAGTTGTCATCCACTCAGGCTGCATTTGGTAAAGATGATGTGTTGGAAATAAAGTTTGGCTCTATTACCTAGGGAGCCTCCAAAACATCCCACCTATTCTAGGGGTCTGATGATAATATTGTTGGTCTGCTTTTAAACTTTGCATCCTAAGGAAAAGTCCTTCTGGTTTAATCCTATGTAGTCATTTCACCATGGGAAAAGTTCAACCTTAGAACTTTTTACCTTAAGGGCTTACAAAGAAAAGGGAGCATGTCTGCCTAAAGAAATAGTGACCTACATATAATAGCTAAGTGAGCTTATAAACTATACCAGAAATAAAAGTCTCAGTGGAAGTGTTAGAATATAAAAATGAGAAAATCTCTTAGAAAACAGAACTTAAAACAAAGGTAAAGAAAGAAAATATAAGAAAATTCAAGATTGACTTAAAAGTTTCAACATCAAAAAAGCAGGTGTACTGAAGAGACAATAAAGAATCAGAGCCATATATATTAATGTGCATAAATCCCCAAGTCATAATATTAAGTGAAAAAGGCATGTTGTTTAAAGGACATAGAGTATTATACTATTTATATAAAGTTTAAAGATACGCAAAACAATCCTTACACTGTTGATTAATTCATACAATATAGTAAAAAAAAAAAATTCTTAAGATTGATACTCTAAATTCAGTATAAATATTGCTATTAAAAAGAAAGAATGGCATCATTGAGGCTTTATACACAGGATCATTATAATCATTTTACAATGTTTTATTTTTTTAAGCTTTGGTAGACATATTGGTGTTCATTATGTTATGTTTTAATAATCTATTGTCTTTCTGATTTCTTTGTTGAAAAATACTTATACTTAGAAATAGCAAATGGATTTCTTGTCAACCTGTTGTAAAGACATGTAACCATTAACTGTTGACTGTTTTCTTAGTTGTATTGGTGATTTTTTAAATGCATTTACGAACATATTAGTTAGCACTTACATTTTCTCATTGATTAAAAAAAAATAGAGCTGATTTTAAAAGACCAATAAGGTAGGTAAATTTCTATAAAATAATACCAAGAAAAACAGAAATAGGAATATTAGACAAGTTTAAAAGGGTCTAACTTAAGACTTAAAAAATTATATGGTACTCTATATAAAATGTACATGATGTAAGTGTATTTCTAGGATTATATGAAATATCAAAATTGGCTCTATAAATAACATAAACTTGGAGTAAACCCAAGAACTTAAAATGATTGTTCATCTATACTTTTCTACTTTGAGAAATATACCTGATCTAGAGTTTTTTCTTTACTGTTGTATCAAACCACAAGGAGCAGGTCTTATTTAATGCGCTGTTGTACAACAAAAAATACAGAAAGCTTTCCTGAAATTTCATGTCATAAACCCATCATTACTGTCATAGCTTTTACATAGTAGGGCTTACGAGGTGCTTTTTCCTGAGAGATATATATAAAGTGGTTTTGGGGTGTGTTTTTTTGGGGGGGGGTGGGAGGAGGAGGACTACGGGTAGGGTTACATGACATTTGTGCTTATTATCTTTTCTTTCTCTGTGGTGTTAAATGATTTCATTATTTCAGATGTTCAAGTACTTAGGGTGTTAATTACCCTCTCTTAGATTCCATTGATGCTGTTGCTGCAGAGCTTGCAGCTAAACTACAAGACACAAAGATTGAATGCCTGTCAGAAACTAAAACCAGTAAGAGGACATTTCCTAAGGAAGCCTGGTCAGAAGATAAGGAATCCTTGCAGATAGATATTGAAGGTAATGGGATTGGGATGTATGTGTGTGGGTAAAGGGAGATGCTATGTCTATTTTCTTTTATCTTGATAAGATTATAGCCTCATGATTTAAACATTCATTTTTTCTTTTCTTTTTTGTTATTTTTCTTTTGTAAATTATTTCAGAGCTACTTTGTCTCTGATAATATATATATATAAATGTATATCCTGTCTAGTAAAAAAAAATAGTAATATGCAAATTATCCACCACTCTGCTACACACACAAGCCACGCCCACCATCCAATCAGGAGCAAAAATAAACCTAACCAAGATGCTACAGCCACAGAGAACAGGAGGGAGGCTTGGGTTTCCCTGGCAATGGTGGAAGCCAAGGTTTCTGCCTACCCTTGCTGGCCTAGGCCTCCACTCAATGCTACACAGTTTCAATGATAAATCCAAACATAAATGGCAGCAATGGAGCTGGAAAGAGCAGGAGGCTAGGGTTGCCCCTGGCAATGGGGGAAGCCAAACTTTCCACACACCCTGGCTGTCCCAGGCCTCCACTTAAGGCTACAAAGTTTCAAGTATGAAAGATACATAAATCCCAACAGAAATGGCTGCTGCCATGAGCAATCAGAAAGCTTGGCTCTGCTCCAGGATACAAAGTTTCAATTGTAGAAGATAAATAAACTCCAGATACCAGGGCCTCCAGTTGGGTTCCCCGGGGGGTGTAGCTGTCCTGAAAACCACCACAGGCCCCACACCCAGGCCGCCCCACACCCCAAAGGAACCCCCACCCTGATCTGGGACATCCTTCAGGGCAAACCAACTGGCCCCACCCATGCACCAGACCTCTCTCCTATCTAATAAAAGAGTAATATGCAGATTGACCATCACTCCAACGCACAAGATGGCTGTCCCCATGTGGACACAAGATGGCAGCCAGGGAGGGCATTTGGGAGGGAATAGGCCTGCAAGGAAGGGCAGTTGGGGGTGAGCAAGCCTGCAGGGGAGGGCAGTTAGGGGTGACCAAGCCAGCAGAGGAGGGAAGTTGGGGGCTACCAGGCCTCCAAAGAAGGGCGGTTAAGAGTGACCAGGCCTGCAGTGGAGGGCAGTTAGGGGCAAACAATCTGGCAGGGGAGCAGTTAGGCATCAATTAGGCTGGCAGCGGAGTGGTTAGGGGGTGATTACGCTGGCAGGCAGAAGTGGTTAGGGGCAAGCAGGAAGGCAGGCAGGCGAGCAGTTGGGAGCCAGCAGTCCTGGATTGTGAGAGGGATCCCAGATTGGAGAGGGTGCAGGCTGGGCTGATGGGGACACACACACACACACACACGCATGAATTTTGTGCACCAGGCCTCTAGTATAGTATTAACCTGTATCATATGTTAGTACTGACACTGGGAAAAACCTAAAGGTATTCCAGAAGATTGTAACAAAGACAGATAAACCCCAGTACAAACTTCTAAAAATTACAGTAAAAAGCCAAAAATTACAATAAAGACTCATGGCCCTCTTTTGAGTCTAACAAAAGAAAGGCATAGAGGACTACCTGGCTGTCAAGTTTTACCTCTTAGAAGAAGATAGAACAGTACCCAGATAAGGAAAAAAAAGAGTCGATGAGCTATAATCTATCCATATTACATTTCTTTCTTTTTTTTTTTAAAATCAATCTTTATTGTTCATATTATTACAAAGTTTCCTCATTTCTTCCCCCCTCCACCAGGTTCCCACCCCACCCTCTGCCCCCTCCGCATCCCCCAATGTCCTCATCCATAGGTGCAGTTTATGTTCAGTCTCTTCCTCCCTCCCTTTCCCCGATAGTAAATCCCTTTTCAGATAGTAAATCAGTTACTTAGCATTTTCTCATATCAATAATACCTCCACATGCCCTGTGATACACTTCACACAAAAGACATTTCCAAATAGGTCAACAAGCCTCATCGAGGCCCCACCCAAGGCACTCACAGATCAACACCCCAGCGCTATACTAACTCAACATATCCAGATCTAAGCCTTCATCACTTGACTCAGCAGACCCTCAAGTTCCCGCAAAAGTTTCCAGCCATGTCTGAGAGGCAGCCTTGGGGCGGGGTCAGGCGAGGAGCCAGCTGTTCCGGGCCTGGCTGCTCCGGGACTGGCCTCTGTTGCTCTGGTTCGTTCCACAACCAGCTGTTCCTGGTCTGGTCACTGCCGCTCCCGACCTAGTTGCTCTGGACTTGGCTGCTGCTGCTCCGGGCCTGGCCGCACCTGACCCGGCTGCTCCGGGTCCGGCCGCTCCCAGCCTGGCAGCCGCTGCTCCGGGCCTGGCCGCTCCCAGCCTGGCAGCCGCTGCTTCAGGCCTGGCCGCACCCGACCCGGCTGCTCTGGGCCTGGCCGCTCCCAGCCTGGCAGCCGCTGCTTCGGGCCTGGCCGCACCCGACCCGGCTGCTCTGGGCCTGGCTGCTCCCAGCCTGGCAGCCGCTGCTCCGGGCCTGGCCACACCAGACCCGCCTGCTCCGGGCCTGGCCGCTCCCAGCCTGGCAGCTGCTGCTCCGGGCCTGGCCGCACCCGACCTGGCTGCTCTGGGCCCGGCTGCTCCGGGCCCGGCCGCTCCGAGCCTGGCCACTCTGGGCCTGGATCCTCCGGGCTTGGCTACTGCTGTTCTGGGCCTGGCTGCTCCCAACCCGGCTGCTCTGGGCCCGGCTTCTCCAGGCCCGTCCACTCCGGGTCTGGGTGTTTCTGGACTGGCCATCCTGGGCTTGGCCTCCTCCGCCTCAGGCCTGGCTGCCACTGCCCCAGGTCTGGCTGCTCCAGTGCTGGCTGTTGATGCTCTGGTTCTGGCTGCTGCTGCTCTGGGGCCTGGCCGTTGCTGCTCCGGGCCCGGCTGCCACTGCCTTGTGCCTGGCCACTCTAGGCCTGGCCGCCGCTGTTCCAACATTCTGTCCTTTTTTTTTTTTTTTAAAAAAACGTCTTTATGTTGCAATGTTGGCTGGTGAGTTGAGTTCTGACTTAGTCTTTGATTTTTTCAAGATCTTCTTTGTATTCTTTCTTAAGTAATTTTACTATCTTTTGCTCTCACTTGATTTCTTCACATTGAGAACTTCTTTGGTTTCTTCCTCCTTGTCCTGGGAGCTCAGCAGGTTGGCCTGTGGCACCCCTTTGTTCTCCGCGGGCTCCTGTGCTGCTTCAGCCTGTTGCCGGGGTTGGCGCCTCCCAGGAAGCAGCCCCCGGCCTTGGCTCTGTTGCCCGCGCTCAGCGGTCGAAGGCTCAGGGGCACGCCCCCCCTGGGGGCCCCGTCGCCCGGCTCCTTGCTGGTGCCCGGCTGGCCGGTGTCCGGCAGGGGCTCCTGCTCCTCGTCGCGTTCCTCCAGTCTGGAGCTTTTTTTCTTCTTCCCACTAGAGGAGTCTAGGATCAGAGTCAACAGACTGTCCTCTGCGCGCAGTGTGCGCGACTCCGGGAGCTCCGCTTTTCGCAGCTCCCGCAAGATTTCACCTCACAGCCCCAGCTCCCCCTGCCTGAGCCTGGGTCCCCAGGGTCTGGCCTCGGACTGGGGTTCAGAGCAGTCAAAACTAGGGCCCAACACGGTCGGGGCTTCTGTTTCCTTCCCTCCAGGGCTATCCCACATCAGAGTCAACATTCCTTCCCTTGCAAGCAATGTGCGCGACTCCGGGGGTTCGGCCTTTTGCCGCTCTCCCAGGACTCCACCTCACAGTCCCGTTTCCCTCTGCTTGAGCTTGGGTCACCAGGGATTGGCCTAGGACTGGGGTTCAGAGCAGTCCAGACTGGGGTTCAGAGCAGTCCGGACTGAGGCTCAGCGCCGCCGGAGGCTTGCTTTCTTCCGGCTAGGGTAATCCAGCATCAGAGTCAACATTCAGTCCTCTGCGCGCAATGTGCACATGACTCCGGGGGCCTTGCTTTTCACTGCTCCCCTGGGATTCCGCCTCACAGCCCCGTCTCCCCCTGCCGGAGCCTGGGTCCCCAGGGTCTGGCCCATAACTGGGGCTCAGCGCTGCCGGTTCGGGGGTTCAGCCCAGGCTGTGGGTTTTATTTCCTTCCTGCTAGGGAACGCCAGGCAGCACCCAGCCCTCTCCTCTCCGGCTGTGACCTCTCAGTGCCCGCGTGTGTGTGGGCACGCCGCATGTCTCCGTACCTTAGGCTTTTTTTCAGCTCCTCTGATTTTCCTTCTGGTTTTCTCTTTCCTTCTTGTAGAATTTTCAGTCAGTCGACTACCTGTAGCTCTGGGCAATGTCCACTCTACATTTTAGTTGTATTCCATTGAAATTGTTGTGTGCTGCTGCGGTTAGATGTCTACCCGAGCAGCCATCTTGGATCCTCCTATCCATATTACATTTCAAAAACAGTTCAGGTGTAGCTGCTCACATCACAAATGTATAAGATAAATGATTTTCACAAAGGTGCCAAGACTGTAGTGGGGAAGAAACATTCTCTTCAGCAAATGGTATTGGAAAACTGATATCCATATGCAAAAGAACAAAATTGAATACTTATCTTTTACTACATATGAAAACTAATTCAAAATGAATCAAATTTCTAAACTTCAAAGCTAAAGTTACAAAACTGTTAGCAGAAAGCATAGGGGAAAAACTCCATGGCCTTGATATGGCAGTGATTTCTTGGATATGACCACAAAAGCACAGGCAACAAAAGCAAAAAAATATGCACACAAGAAGAAAAGTAACTGCACTAGATGATAAAAGACTGAAGTGGACCACTTTCTTAATGGCCAGTGTCCTTTGTCTTAAAATTTGGTGCAATGTGTAAAAAAAAACAAACAAAAAAACAAAACAAAACAAAACAAAACAAAAAAAAACAGCAAAAAACAAATTATACTTACACCAAATTAAAAACTGCATCAAAGGGGAGTGGACTGACGATTCTCGGAAAAGGGGAGTGGGGGTGCGGGAAGAGACTGAACAAAAACTATGCACCTATGGATGAGGATAATGGGGGATGGGGAAAGGACAGAGGGTGGGGTGGGAACCTGGTGAAGGGGAGCAATTGAGGGGGGAAAGAGGATCACATTTGTAATAATCTGAAAAATA